ATATGTTAAGGTAAGGATATCCTAGGATCAGGGCACTCTTATGAGAACTTTCTAGAATAATTCTAGTCACATTCTAAGATGCATCGGGTAAAATGTGCCTTATTTTAGTCTAGTTACCTTGGTAATGAAGTGACTATAAGCGCCTGCAGACCGGGTTCCTGAACCGTCTGGAGCTGCCGGAGGGGGAGACCGGACCGGCGGCGATCCGCAAGGCCGTCTCCCGCAACGGCATGGAGACGTATGGCAAGCCCATTGGTGAGCACACTCATTTATAGCTACGTCGGGTAAACCGCCAGGTAGTGTCAGTTTTATTCATATTAACTCTGACAATATAGGCCCAGGACATTCTAGTATGAGTGTATTCTAGGACGAGAACATTCTAGAGCGAGAACATTCTACGACGAGAACATTCTAGCATGAGAGCATTGTCGTATGAGAACATTCTAGGAAGAGAACATTCTGGTGAGAACATAGTATGAGAACATTCTAGTACGAGAACATTCTAGGATGAGCATATCCTAACATAGGGCAATGAAGGGGCAATGTTATGAGAGCTTTCTACTATAATTCTAGTCACATTCTGAGATACAGCGGGTAAAAATTGGCCTTATTTTAGTCTAGTTTTCTTGGTAATGAAATTACTATAAGATAAGCTAAGCGTCTGCAGACCGGGTTCCTGAACCGTCTGGAGCTGCCGGAGGGGGAGACCGGACCGGCGGCCATCCGCAAGGCCGTCTCCCGCAACGGCATGGAGACGTATGGCAAGCCCATTGGTGAGCACACTGCTTTTGACAGCTACGACGGGTCAATCGCCTGGTAATCGCTTTGGTATTACATATAGGCCCATGACATTCTAGTATGAGGGTTTTTTTATTGATCAATCAATCTTACAAAACATATTTCCTAGATAAACTAATGCCCCTAAACGAAGGTGGAAATTTGAAGGTTGTATTCTTCTTCTTCCTTTTTGTGTGGGACACCGAGTCGTTCAACGACCCGATGAACCCTGGTGTCAGAGTTTTTCAACCGTGTACTGCAAGTAGCAGGCCTCTGACATGGTTGTGTAACGACCGCCATCATAGATAGCAACCGGGACCGACGGCTTAACGTGCACATTCGAAGCACGGGACCATCTTACTACTGTATTCTATTACAACAACATTCTAGGTTGAGAACGTTTCTAGGAAATGTTCGAGTTCGACTCCCGGTGGGACTATCACAAAGTTTATATTTGTTATATCACTTTGTGAATCGGGTCCCAGCCTGGTTAGGAAATCGTAAAAGAATATACTAAAATTATCAGAAATACAGCTTATCAATTGATAAAACTGCTTTATAGTTAGGAGCCAAATCGAAGTCATTGACTTTAAAATAATTATCTAGACTAGCGAACAAGAAATTATCAAAGGAAGGTTCGTGAACATTACAATATACCGGCAACACTTGTACAAATATCACGAAATTGTGTACATTGTTTAAAACATTCGATCGAACCTCTCCAATTGTAAAAAAAAAATTATATTACAAACACATATATATACATCACGTCTTAGTCCTTTACGGGGCAGGCAGAGCTTCAACGTCCGTAAAAATACAGTCGCTATCGTCACGTATGACAGACAATTAATATTTGTGGACAGTATCTAATAAATCGTGTATCACGCACTATAGTTGTCATCCATCAGCCTTTCGCCCACATGAAACCCTCTAGTCCCTTGGTCGTCTCTTACGACACCCGCGGGCAAGAAATGGTGTGATGCTATTCTAAGCCGGCATCGCACGGCCGGTCCACCATAATATCTGAATCATCATCTGCCCGCCTGTATCCCAAATGAGTTGGCGTCGACGCAACATGCCTTGTTAAAGCACAAAATCATGTAGCAAAAGGATTTGGCAATGTTTTATGACCGGCGTCAACCCTCTTTGGGAATGCTATGCTATTCTAAATTTTCTCTTTTTTAAGATTGAATCAGAATGTGACTCTCTTAAAGTGAATTTTGTAAATTCCTACTAAGAAATAAATGCTTTGAGTTTGAGTTCTATTGTAGTGGTATTACTGCCACCATGTGGTTGACCATAGTCGACAGATATTCAGCCGAAGTCAAAAACTGTACGTCACCTTTTTCGAAAGAACCTGAGTGGACTAGGGGTGGCAGTATTCTTAACCGCTACCACACGGCGATATCTGAATGTTGTTTCTTGTTATAGGTATTGAAGAGAGCGTGTCTTTGGACCTGGTTGTGATGGGATCGGTCGCCGTCTCCAAGGAGGGCTACAGGATCGGCAAAGGACGAGGTAAGATCACTCCGAAAAATTTGGGGAAGGTTGCTCAAAGGCCCCTCTGATTGAGCCGAACTTGTCTCGCCCGCGAATGATAAAGACATCGCAAATAAAGACTTCTTGTATTAACGAAATTGTTACCTATACAGCAAGAGAGCGTATGTACGGGCGCCTTTACAGATGGCTCACTCAGTACTAGCACCGATTTTGATGCATACTGACTTGAAATGGAAATAACTGGAATTTCAGAGGAACTCAAGGTAACTAAGATGTTTGCCACGAACGTCACATTTCCTGGAATAAAATTGTCTTTGAAAACGTTCTTGTATCAGATTTTGCTGTTTTGATATTCTTATACTTAGAGATTTTTGACAGGAGCAACCCTGGCTATGTAACAAGTGACAATCTGACAATCACGAAAATCGTAAATAGGGTTGAGTGAATCTTCTGTAAACTCTCTATTTCGTGCCAGATATTATGTGTGACGCAGGAATGACTTTTACGGAATATGAATTATATTTACAATTAGAGATGGGCCGAATATTCGGTTTATGTATGTATTCGGCATGTTCGGCACATTTACCGAATATTCGGTTTCGGCCGAATGTTCGGTGAATTTTGCCGAATATTTGGCAAAAACGTACCGTTTTTATATGAATTGCATCGTAAATTGTTATGTCACGATAAACTGTGAAGCAGTTTAATTTTAATTTGTTGACTACGTTTCCAATGTAAAAAGGTAGAGGGGTAAAGAGCAGAGTGGTCTAGTGCGACTCAGCGCGTATTTCGAATACAAGAGATGCTGCCATTGTTTTATAAGGACACCAATTCCTGGCGAATTATTCGGCCGAATATTCGGTTCGGCAAATTTTTACCGAACATTCGGCTGAATATTCGTATTCGGTGAAACCTATGTTCGGCCCATCACTATTTACAATGTTTTCCCAATCCCCCAGGCTACGGCGACCTGGAGTTCGGTCTGATGATGCACATGAAAGCGTTGAAGCCTTCTACCTTGGTGGTGACGACGGTCCACGACTGCCAGGTACCGTACGACTGTCTTGTGTGCCTTATAATTTGTGATACATATTAAGAATTGTGAACGTACTCTAAGGGACCTTGTATGTGTCAACGTAAAATTGTAAATAACGCTGGATTATAATCTATTTTGCTAAATTATAATCTGTCGAAATATTGTAACACATTCACACGTATTACAATTCAACGTATAATTTTTCAGTAGATTACAATATATCGAGCCAAAATCGTGAAACTGTGATACAATTACGCAGCTCGCGTTCTGATTGGTCAAGTCAAGCATCATGTCGCGAACGACGACTGTCGACTTATAAATAAGTTTTGTTTCTTCTTCTTTCTTTCAGGTGTTCGACACGCTGCCGGCCGAGCTGTTCGGACCCCACGACGTGCCCATAGATATCATCGTCACACCCACACAGGTAACGTTTGCCACATTCCCTCATGCCACATTCCCTCATGCCACATTTCCGCCTCATTTCTTCATGATACATTCCCTCATGCCACATTCCTTCATGCCACATTCCCTCATGCTACATTCCCTCATGCCACATTTCCTCATGCCACATTTCCTTATGCCTCATTTCCTCGTGATACATTCCCTCATGCCACATTCCGTCATGCCACATTTTCTTATGCCTCATTTCCTCGTGATACATTCCCTAATGCCACATTCCCTCATGCCACATTCCCTCATGCCACATTTCCTTATGCCTCATTTCCTCGTGATACATTCCCTCATGCCACATTTCCTTATGCTTCATTTCCTCATGATACATTCCCTGATGCCACATTCTTTCGTGCCACATTCCTACATGCCTCATTTCCTCATGATACATTCCCTCATGCCACATTCCCTAATGCTACATTCTCTCATGCCACATGCCCTCATGCCACATTCACTCATGCCACAAAATCATGTTGTATAAACACAAAATCATGTTGCAAAAGGATTTGACTTAATCTCACGACCAGCCGCCTGCCTGACGTTAACCTTCTTTAGGAGTGCTAGCGTAAGTGGTATTACCGCCACCATACGGTTGACCATTGTCGGCATATATTGTAGCCAAGGTCAAAACTTTACGCCGCCTTTTACGAAACACCCTGAGTAAAATCTGAAGTTACTGTTACAATTTTTAAGAATGTTGTGTACGCCTATAATTGTCTTTTAAGTCAGAGTTTGATGTTAACAATTAAGAGCCTACGTAATGTTATGTTGGTGTACCTTTTTGTAATAAAATAAAATAAAATCTAATTGAATGATTTCTGTAGTAAAATATTTTGTTTTTGGAAAACTTCCAAAATTTTATTCACCGCAGGCAGGATTTGAACCTGCGACCTTCGGCATCAGTACTGCCGACGCCCTAACCAACTGGGCTACCGCGGTTCTAATCGAGCCCGCGAATTATGGAAGTATATCTTGTCCACTATCGCGTGGATGGATTTTGGAAGTTTTCCAAAAATTGTTTACCTAACACGAGAAGTGTTTTAAAATTTGGTATTCAATATTTTGTTTGTTCACAGGTGATAGAGACGCAACGCATGTCGCAGCGTCCGTCCGGCATACTGTGGCACCTGCTGTCAAATCGGCGCGTCACGCTCATGCCCGTGTTGGGGCAGCTGAGGGATGTAGAGATGCTGTAAGTACCGTTGTTAATACAAACGAAACAAGTGGAAAAAATTCACGCCTCCGATGGGATTCGAACCCACATCTTATGACATGCCGGGTCAGACGTGTTACCATTACACCACGGCAGGCTCTACCCGAGGTGGCGAAATTGTGAACCACTTGCTTCTCTCATATATGTTTTGTTACTTGACTACTTACGAGTAGCTTTAGCGCCATCTATGACTATTTAGTAAATCTATACAGTCACTCAACTGACAAAATTACGTATGTACAAGTTGACGAGAGATGGAGCTTTTTCCGATTTGTGAATGTTTACTATTTTGTAGAAATTTCCGCAAGATAGTAATTTAAAATACTTGGTGTTTTTAATCAAACACTACATATTGGTATAATTGTTAATAAAAACGAAACTAGTGGAAAACAATCACTAAGTATCGTTGCGGGGTAAACACAGCAACAACTGCACAGCAGTCTGGCATATTGTGGCACCTGCAGTTATTTATCTATCTATCTATCTATTTACCCCACACTAACTCATTTCTGGACATATGCCTTTTCCTTATTGATCCGTTACGTACGATCCTGTGCCGCACGCATCCAATTGATCCCTCAACAGATACTATACGGTTACATTTAATTAAGTACAAATATCTTGAGGGTGTAATCTACTCACAAAACTGAACAACTTTTGTTTGATACTTTCTTCGAAATATGAAAAAAAAATTAGGACCTCCCATACTAAGTGACACACTTTTTCAGCATTTTTGTATGGGAGGTACTTGGTTGTGTGATGGTTTTCGTGTGAAAATATAGCATAATTAATTATCAATACTTACTTAGGCAATACTAACTTACACTTAACTTTGGTATAGAAAACGGTTTCAAGATGTGTTGTCTCTTTCCAGCGCCGGTCGCGCATGCACCCTCAAAGAAGTAGACACCGACGTGGAGGAACGCACGCAGCAGCGCCCGCGACGCACGCGCAGGCGTACTCGCTCCCACAAGAGCCAGAGCGAGGGAGAGGTAAGTAGCATAGTTATATTTGTTTCCAGCGCCGGTCGCGCGTGCACGCTCAAAGAGGTGGACACCGATGTCACAGAATATATAATAGTACTAGGGTACAGAAAATTCACTCCCTAACAAAAGCCATGGTTAGGTATAAAAAGATACCTACTCTCGGCTTAGCCGACCACCAGCGAGCAAAATTGAAACTTATTACTGCGCGCGAACGGCTCAATCTCCACTGGACGCCGCCGGACAATGACCCGGCCGCGCGCGCTCTCAAAGGGTTGTCACATCACAATAATCGAGTAGGTAGGTATTTAATTTATCTGTTCAGTACATAGATATTCTAAGTAACTATAAGACAAGTATTGCAAGTGTTTTAAAATCGAATTTGAAATAAGCTAGCGTAACATTAACAACAGTAAGTAGCTACCTACCTACCTACTTATCTTATGAGAGACGAGACGATAGAAAGTGAAGCTCACACAAACTTGATACCTACCGGTAGGTATCTTCCTATTTCTCATCATTAAATTTTGTTCAAATTCTGGTTAGGTTAGGACTCGAACGACCTGAAGCAAAATGGTTCCGTACTTTGGAAGTACGGTACAGTAAGTACTTTGGCACGTTAAGCTGTCGCTCCCAGTTGTTGTCTATAGTACAATTACCTACCTACCTACTTAGACACAAACAACCAACTCGCAATGCGGGGGCGCGGCGGCGGCGGGCGGCAATGCGCGAGCGCGAGCGCGCTGCTTATTTCCATCGCACTCGCACGTGAGCGCAGCATCAAGGGTTAGAATGAGACACCGCTGTTGTTGGTGTGAAATATCTTCGCAACAAATATACCTATGCGTATTTCGGCTGTAATGTATTTACCTTGGTGAAGGCCTCGGTGTAGGCACACAATAATAACAGTACTAGAGTAGTGTTTCTTACTGTTTCTTACTTACCTAAGTTTTGTATACAGTGCCTAAGTAAGTAGGTAGGTACCTACTAAGAATGTAGGTACATCATCATGGCATCTACGTTGTTTGTTTAATTTAAATAGAACCCAGAAGAAGGTACCTATACTCTGACCAAATTTTATAAATAGCAACAAGTAGGTGAAAATTTACCAAAATACAATTTTAGAAAAACTTCTCCTTTGGAATAACCACCGGCGGATCCAGCCTTGGCTCAGGGGGGGGGTCACATAGAAAATTTTATAGGTACCTACTATAGGTAATTTTTGACCCAACTGCTCCAGAAGAAGGGTTATGTTTTTCGAGAGGCAGAATTAGGTTTTTGGCCGAAATGCTAGGGTTTTGGTCAAATGCCGGCATATGGCAAAATCGTAGACTTCCTTCGGCCATCGTCCTAAGCTGATCAAGGTTTTTGGCCAAAAATCCTAGATTTATGGCTTTTTTGCATTTCAGGGGAGCGAGGAGTGAAGAGGTATGTTATGCACATCTTTTAAGGGTAGAGTTGGACACCCTGAAGGGCAGGGGGTAAAATTAGACAGCCTGAATAGCAGGATTGCCTCGGACGCTCTGGAGGATCGGTGGTAGCGTCGGACGCCCTGGAGGACAGGGGGTAGCGTCCCAAAAAATACAGCCACCGTCATCTTTCATCCTCCAGAGTGTCCGACGCTAACCACGCCCTCCAGGGCGACCGACGCTACCTGATACCTCCCACCCTACATCACGTGCAACGCTACCTCCTGCCTTTCAGGGTGACTGACGCTACCTCCAACCCTCCAGGGACGCCGTACTCGGAAAGGGGTAGCGTTGGGCCTACTATTGTGTTACAAAGTAGCGTCGGACGCCCTGGAGGACGTGGGTGGCGTTGTCCGTCCATTTCTGTGTAATATTGACTATCAATAAGTAATATTTTATATTCTATATTGAATAAAGAATTTTGTATTTGTATTTGTATTTGGACACTCTGGTGGATAAAAAGTGGCGGGCGTTGGTTTTCCTGGGCTTCCGACGCTACCCCTTGCCGTGAAGGGCATCCCTGGAGGGTTGGAGGTAGCGGCATACACCTTGAGAGGCAGAAGGTAGCTTTGGACTTTCTGGAGGGTGGGAGGTAGCGTCGGACGCCTTGGCAGGCGTGGGTAGCGTCGGACACTCTGGAGGATAAAAGATGGCGGGCGTTGGATTTCCTGGGCGTCCGACGATACCCCCTGCCGTCCAGAGCATCTGACGCTACTTCCGTTCTCCCGAGCGTCCAGTAGTACTTCCTGCTCTTATGGTGTCTCTCGTCCCGGTCAACCGAGGCAATCCTGCTGTTCAGGCTGTCTGATGCTACCCCATCCTTCAGGGCGTCCGATGCCTCAGGGTGTCCAACGCTACCCTTAACAGATCAGGGGGAGGTGCATAACGTACCTCTCCACTCTTCGTTCCCATTAGGAATTCGGCCAAAATCCTAGGTTTGTGGCCAAAAACCTGGATCAGCTTAGGACGATGGCCGAATGAAGTCGACGATTTTGCCGTATGCCGGCTTTTGCTATGGAATCTTGTGTTTGACATTGACAAAAAAGACATTGTCAATATGTAAACCATAATATAACCACCTGGATCCGCCACTGGGAATAACTAACGAAAAAACTTATTTCCGGTTTATTGTTCTTATACATATCTACATTGCAGTATTTGCGAGGCCCATGGCTAGCCATTTTTTAGTTTTTAATCCACTTTCGAAACACAAAACAACACTTCCGAAAATTTTGAAATACCTAATACGAACAAACGCGCGGTGAATCTAGCGCGCGGCAGCCCGCTGAGATTAGCCCCTTCAAGGGGCACCCGGGCGGGTAATACCTAATCCACGGAGTGAAACCCCCCTGCCGATGTGGAGGAGCGCACGCAGCAACGCCAAAGCGAAGGAGAGGTAAGTAGAATAGTTATATTTGTTTCCAGAGCGGGTCGCGCGTGAACTCTCAAGGAGGTGGATACCGACGTGGAGGAGCGTGCGCAGCAGCGCCCGCGACGCACACGCAGACGCACGCGCTCGCACAAGAGCCAGAGCGAGGGAGAGGTGAGTAGAATAGTTATATTTGTTTCCAGAGCCGGTCGTGCATGCACTCTGAAGGAGGTGGATACTGACGTGGAGCAGCGCAGCGCAGACGTACGCGCTCGCACAAGAGCCAGAGCGAGGGAGAGGTAAGTAGAATAGTTATATTTCTTTCCAGAGCGGGCCGCGCGTGAACTCTCAAAGAAGTGGACACTGACGTGGAGGAGCGCACGCAGCAGCGCCCGCGACGCACTAGACGCCGCACGCGCTCGCACAAGAGCCAGAGCGAGGGAGAGGTGAGTAGCAGAAATTAGAGTTCGATATCTCGGTAGTTTACGCTATCGAATAATTAATAAATTAAAAATTATCGATAGTATGACTACGCATCTAGCAAATGAGTAGCCGGTTGAACGTACATCAAATGGTTTATTTACACTGCCGAATATTAGATGATAACAAGATGATAATGATGATGAAACTTATAGACATTGACCACAAGAAAATTCGTTTTCTTCGATAGACGTAAGTTGTCAACAACCTTCCGTGGTCCAGGGCAACCAGGAACGCAGCGCCCCACACACTTTTATACTGCGACTATAGCCGCATTAACAGCACACGTCTGTCGTGAAACACATTAATCTATAGCAGACTACTGCTGGACTGCTGCCTCCCTCTCCCAGGGTACGCCGCAAGGCACGATCTCCTGTTTTCGTCATCCAGACACCACACGCCGCTATCTTTAAGTTATCGGGCCGTCTGGCCAAGGACATGGAACCCTTATGACGCCAATACCACTACAAAACATTTTTCTTCCAGGGTAACACGACAGAAGGCGAGGACGGCAAGCCGGGCAAGCCGCGCCGCACGACACGACGCCGCAACAGCAACAAGTCCGTCGGCAAGGAGACGCCGCGCGACGCCAAGCCACGACGCAGCAAGCGCGTCAGACCTGTCATAGACTTCAGCGTCAAGGTAACACTCTACGTGTATATATATACATACAGCAACAAGTCTGACAGCAAGGAGACGCCGCGCGACGCCAAGCCACGACGCAGCAAGCGCGTCAGACCTGTCATAGACTTCAGCGTCAAGGTAACACTCTACGTGTATATATACATACAGCAACA